GGGCATGGTGTTCGCCTTGGTCCACGCAATGAGTCACCTTAAACACTAGGGACAGCAGCATCTTCCCTCCCAATAGAAATCCTGCCCTGGCCAACCGCTCAGATTTCAGCTGATTAAAGGAAAACTGGATTTCCTCAGCAGTGGCATTTGGTCCTTTCTGAAACAGAAAGGAGACACGCACTGTCCCCTGAGGACTGAAGACCTGGAACTTTACCCATTAGGCCCCAAGCTGTCCATCCATAAATCTTTCAACGAAACTGACACAGGTGCTTACGATAGATTGGAAATCAATCCAGAGCTTATGCCTTTTTGTATATAAAATATATTTTTTTCAAATACTTTTGATTTTCTCAAAATAGAGCCCTGAAAACATTTATTTTAAAAGTTACTGGAAGTACTTTTTTTTTCTTTTTTCTCCCGTTGTTTTTCTGCATGTCCCAGATGTGGGACGATGAGACTACGTAGGTCCCGGGGGTGACACTTCCCACCTGTTCAATGGCCAGCATCATCACTGCAAGCTGGTTTTGCTCACCCTTGTACAGAGGGCTCACCCTTGCACAGGTCCCTCTCCTCAACTGTCTGGTGGCTGCTCCTAGGGGGGCCAGTGACAGTGGGCCCAGACAGGGCTGTCTCCTCCCTGACCCCCTGACTGGGCCCTTGCTTTGCAGAATAGCTGCCTCAGCAGCGAGCTTATGGTGCTGGCCGGCCCAGGCCGCAGAGGTGCGAGCCACAGACCTGCCGCGTCCGTCACCCTGGGCAGCCAGGCCAGATGGTTACCTGGCTCCCACGGCAAGGCCTGCGGTGGTGACTTGGCCGGGCTGCTCCACTGTGCAGGACAGGCTCCCTCTCGCTGGGCTCCAGCGTGCCCGTGTGGGCCTCTGATGTTGAACGTGAGCTTCCAGAAGCAGCCATTTGCTCTGCACTGGGAGCCTTTCTGTTCCAAAGGGAGGGAGGGAAAGAACCAGGGCTTGTCCCTGGCGGTCAACAAGCAGATTCAAATGCTGAGCAGCTCCGTGCCCTCTCCGGGTCTTGCGAGCCCCTGGGCCGTTCACCCACCACCCACCACCCTGCTGGCACTGGTTCAAGTCCTGGCAGAGCTGGAGACAAAGGTGCTGCTGGAAGACCAACGGCTGTGGCCCTGGCTCCTCCCACTCAGCTTCCCAGGCCTTGCCAAGGTCACCGCGTGGGAGGACAGCCTGCCAGGCTTGTTGGCAAAGCCCTCACCCAGGCAACTTGTATTTTTAACTCTCCGCCAGGCTCCTTGCGACTCAGCGCCTCTCACAGCACAGAATTCAGCCTCAGCCTCCTGAACAGCAGGCCTGACTGCTATGGCCCCTCTCCTGTTAGCAAACAAAAGAAGTTTGGACCAAAAAAATAATAGTTTTGTTAAAGTCTAGCAATAATTTGTTCTATAAGAGGCCAGGACTAGAGGCTGAGTAATCTTGCTGTTTGCTTATCCATAATTCATGTTTAACATGGCTGCAGAAGGTATCCCCGAAGGAGTGCCTCAGGTTTCCATTACATAGCCCTTTTGTAAACCTACCTACTTAATAGATTTATGTCAAACTACCATCTTCTTTTAACATTCAAAAGCCAACTTTTCAGCCGGGCACTGTGGCACATGCTGTAATCACAGCAGCTCGGGAGGCTGAGGCAGGAGGATTGAGAGTTCAAATCCAGCATCAACAAAAGTGAGGCACTGAGCAACTCAGTGAGACCCTGTCTCTAAATAAAATACAAAATGGGACTGGGGATGAGGCTCAGTAGTCCAGTGCCCCTGAGTTCAAGCCCCAGTACCCTCCCCCCAAAAACAACTTTTGCCCTTGTTAACTTGCAATATAGGACTGGATCCCACCTCCAACTTGATTCTCAGCAATGACTTAGAATACAGAGAAAGTGGCCTCTGTCCAAGCAGCTGAGGACGTTGTCCCTGCTCAGTGTTCTCTACCCACATCCTGGGAACCTCCAAGTACCCACTTATCAGCATCCTTCAAATATTTGACTTAGCACTGAGTTCTGCCTTGTTCCTTTTAATCACTTGCCTGTCTTATCAAAGATTTCAGCACAAACAGCACCTGCTGGGGCAGCCACAGTTGAGACACCCTGTCATTCAGTTCATGTCCCCATCCAGGGATGAGGAGGGATGGCTGCATTTGGACAGGGTCAGTGCCCTCCCTGTCATGCCCAGGAATTAGAAGGCATAGAAACCATTCCCAAGCTACCTGCTTCCTTCCTGCCATGCAGACTGCACTGCCCAGATGGCTCGGCCGTCACCAGACCCAGGCCAGAGCAGCAGCCCTCAGTCTTTGATGATCAGAGCCCTGGGGTATTAGCCTGCCTCTCCCAGGGGGCATTCGTACCACCTGAGGGCCAGGCTGGCTCACTGCCCACAGCACCCTGGGAGCTGGGCGGAGAGCTTCAGGTGACTTGTGCCCCTACACTGGTGGAGATGCACCCTGCCCTGCAGGGAGACGACTCCCTCTCTGAGCAGAGGAGCTTTCTTCTGAGTGGCAGGGACTGGGCTCAGGAACTGGCTCATTTTAATTAGCTGTGTAGCTAAGCTGTGGCCCACGGCTTCAAAGACCCCAGGCAGGTGGGCCCCCGCAGTCTGCAGAGCCAACACAGTTGATGCCTGTCTGTCGTGGCCACATCTCCCCAACTCAGGGCACAGGAGCTGAGGGAAGGTTATTATTTATTTAAAAAAAAACATTTTGCATTCATGAATTGCCTTTGTTGTAAAGAACAAAATAGAAGCAAATTGGGAGCGCCCCAGCACCCCAGGCTGTTGAGGGCATGCCAGAGGCCCTGCGAAGATTCTCTGGGGACAGAGGAAAGGGGAGGCCGGGAAAATGGGTTTCAGACACTTCCTGGACAGAAGCTCCTGATGATGCAGATTCCGTCCTGCTGTCCCCGTGACTTGCAGGCCTTCAGCGGGCAGCCCAGAAGCTAAAAGGACCCCGAGATGCAGGGGGCCAGGTGAGGGAGCCCGTCCTCCCTAGGAAACTGCATGGGTCCTCTTGGGAAGTTGGCAGGGTTTGTCACTCCCTAGACGGCAGGCACCTAGAGGGTGGATGCAGAGGCCTCTGCCCACGCTCCTGCTCTCACCAAGTCCAGACATTTGTTGAATTAAGTCCTAATCCAAGAAGCAGGTCCCTTGCATGGCTTCAGGCCCGTGAAGCTGAGCCACGCGGCCTCTGAGCCCCAGGGAGGCAGCTGGGCCTGGGTGGAGGTCTGGCCTTCCTCAGGCCCCACCTGCCACCTCCGCCTCCCAGCCAGGCACCCAGGATGGGCAGCCCCGCACCTGCCTCAGTTGGACCTGTCACCCAAGTGCCTAGGGTCCCCAGACTCCACCTCCACCCTGTTGCCCTTCCACGCTGTCCCTGGCACAGCCCCTTGAGCTCAGCACACTGGTTTGCCTTTTGAATTTAAGCACCAGCTTGTCCCTTGGCCCCAGCAGCAGCCCGAGGACACCTGACATGCCAGGGGAGTTGGTCCTTCTGGCACGCGTTGGACCAGGACGCTCCTGTTGGAGGGAACATTCACCCACAGCACAGTCACCCTCAGACTCCTCATCTGGGGCAGGGAAAGCCTGCTGTATGCAGCTCAGCTCCGTGGGGACTGCCATCGCCTGGCTGGGACAACTACCTGCAGACAGGTGGCTGGGGACCCCCGGCCACAGCCCAGAGAGAGGAGCGTCCCTCGGCAGCCACTCCTCCCCCACCAGGCTCTCCACTGAGATGACAATGGGTGGCCATTGGTGTTAGTACCATTAGCTACAAGCATGAGTCACTGTCCCTTAGGACAGCCTTTGGGTGGTTCATTAAAGAACCACCTGAGCTTCTGCAGCAGGAGGGTAACGACGGTGACACGAAAGCGGAGTTGCTCCTGGGTATAAGCTTCACTGGGAACGTTGAATCACACAAAGTACAAATGTCACCAACCACAAGAAACATCCAAGCCCGGTTTCTACCATCTGTGAAGAGTAGGGCACCAAGAGCACACCCGTGTGCTCGCATGTGCGGGACCCAGCTCAGGACGCCTGGGAGGCCACCATGGTGGCCTCTGGAGGGGGATGGCTAGGCCGGGCGCGGGCCCACGGCTGCCTTTTGTACTGTCAACCCCAAGGCCAGGGTCTGAACAGATCACATAGAGCGCGCTCAGCAAGAAAATGACTGCAAGTCCAGGCTCCTGGAGGACGCAGTGGCCAGTTATCAGGAGACCTGCTGGAAGGCCAGAGAGCCACCTCCCAGTGAGTGTCAACAGGAGAAGTGGGGCACGTCCAAGTGGCACTGCCAGCAAGAGGCCTGGAGGACAAATCCTAACAAAGCCACACACAGCCAAGGACACTGCCAGTGCCAGCCGCTGGGGACCCACACAAGGCAGCAGAGATCGCACAGTCAGCAGGGGTCTCTGCAGCTCTGCCAGCTCCACACGGTCCTCTGCTGACCCTCCTGCCATCACCATCAGCCAACACCAGTGACTTGTTTCCACAGCTTCCTCCAATAGGTGACAGCGAGTCCTAGATGCTCACCTGGGCAGACGCTTCTCTGGCTTCTGCTGCTGCCACCTGTATGGGGACCACAGAGTCCTGGGAGTGTAGCTGGCCCATCCGACAGGAGCCCGGACCAGCAGCCCCAGCGAGGTCCCCACCACCAGAGCCTGAGGGTCTGCAGCCAGCCAGCCCAGAGTCCCAGCGCCCAGGGGCAGGCAGCGCCCACGGCCAGGGCTCTGCTGTGTGAACACTGGTCGCGAGTTTGAGGAGGCCCTGCTCGAGTCCAGCCCTGGGGACACACGCAGCAGAGCAGCTCCTCCTGGTCTCCCCACCGAGGGCCGAGGAGCCAGGTGGACCGCGGCAGTCACCAGCCACCAGCATGCACTGGGCCCAGAGCCAACAGGAAACCGGCCCTTTAAGATGACCCGGCCACCCCTGTCCCTCTTGTTCAGTCCCAGCCACCCACGGCCGGCCCCGGCCAGGAACCAGGAACGGACACAAGTCGCGCTCATTAACAAACCTTTTTTTTTTTATTGTCATTAGAGATAAAAATTGCAAAGTCCCACATACCACAGCCTGGATGGCACAGGGGACACGAACCCTGTCCACTATTTACAGGAGCCGCAGCGGAGGCCGGGCCAGGCTGTCCCTCTCTCCGAGGCTTCTCTGGAAGGCAGCGGTGGGTCAGTGGCAGAGGGCGATGGTCTCCATGTTGAGGAAGCGGACGTGCATCTTGGTCTCGATGTCGATTCCCTGCCAGATCTGTAAGGGACCGAGCAGAGTCAGGGGCATCCCCACCTCGCTGCAGCTGCCCGGGCCCAGTCCTGGCCCCCACCCTCCCTGTCCCCGGCCGAGGTAAAGACCAGGGGCTGTCGTGAGCCTTGAGCCGAGTGAGGAAGAACAAGTCCCATCTGTCCTCCTGCTGGTTAATGTGGCTGTGACATTTGGCCTCTTCCTGAGTGTCGTAGCACGCTAAGTCCAGAGGCAGGTCCCTCCCGCCACGCCCCTTCAGGCTCCGTGTTCCTCATGCCACCGCCACAGCCCCTCAGCCCCCTTCTCATATGATGCGGGGACCACCCCACCTGCTGTCCCCTTCACGGAACACTAGGGGGACTCCGATGACATAGGCCTCGTTGGATTTTGTGAACTTGTAAGGGTAAAATTGTGGAGTGTGACAGGCCACCATCGGTAATCAGAAGCAGAGGACAGTCTGCTGGGTTCAGCCTGAGCGCTCACCGTGTTCTAGGCAGGGAAAGGGAATTCCCACCCAATGTTCAAGTCCAAGGCCACGCCCTGGCACTGCCATTACCATCCGTCCTGGCCAGGGCACTGGTGCTGTCCCCCACACCCCCACAGCTCTACTGTCTCCTACTCCTTGGCAACTCGGGGCCCAGGGCACCACAGATGGGGAGATGGGAACAGGAACCGAGGGACTTGGTGGGCGGGTGACTTCTCACCGCCTCCCCGCTTATGTAAGAACTTCAAACCCTCAAGCTGTCACTCAGCGTCTCCAGGGACAGCCACGAGGCTGGGAAAGTCGGAGATGCCAGGGCGCCCAGACACAAGGAGACCGGGGGGCCTTTCTTGTCACTTCCCAGCCTCCCAGGTGCTTCCCAGTCCCTGCCCCTGATCTGGGTGCTGCGAGGGACACAGGAGACCAATCTGGTTCCATCCAGGTGGCTCCCATTCACTGGGTGGGTGAGAGAGTCTCAGGGTGGTTTCTGCTAAGTGCTGGGCAGCAACATGGTCACCAAGGCCCCTGGAAGGGACCAGGGAGGGGAAGGGAAAGGAGGGGGACCTGGCTTGTCATGAAAGAGCCCCACACGTGCAGGAATGGGGTTGAGAAGCCGTAGGGGAAGGCGCCTTCCGAGGCAAAACAGAAACTCACCCTGTGTCTGGCCTCCCTTCCCTGAGCCTCCCTTCCTCCCCAGGCTCCTAGGTCCTCACCTGTTGTCTTGCTTGGGCCTCACTTCCCTGGAGGAGAGGCCCCAGTGCAGGCAGAGTGACCCTGCTCACAAGAACAGACCTGCCCTTCCCCTGCCCATCACCCTGCCCAGCCCTGACATGGGGCAACTGATGGGGTGAAGGTGGCTGCTGACCTGTGACCCAGAAGTCCCTTCTGGGCTTCCCCTTGCAGCTGGGTCTGTGCCTCCCGCCCTGCCATCTGCCTCCCCCTGCACTTGCAGAAGGCTGGCCAGGTCAGGGGCAGGCTTGGAGGGAAGCCTTGGCCCTGGGCCCCGGCCCCATTCCAGGCCCAAGCCCTGCGTGCCTGGTGCTGTGCGGCTGGGCCCCGAGCCTCTCCAGTACTGTTGGGCCTCCTTGGCCCCCGCAGCTCCCAGGAAGGCCGTGGAGACGCCGTCTTGAGGATGTCCAGGGCCAAAGCAGGCAGGTTCCTCTGAGATCTCGACTGTCCAAATGTCGAGGAGCTGGTCTCAACTCCCTGCCCAGGGCCTGCTGCCATCAGCAGGGCCCACACCAGCCTCACCACCTGCCCCAGGGGCTGCAGAATCCACCATGAAAGGAGGGGGAGCGAGGGCAGCCACTTAAAAACGACACCCAGACACGGCCAGGAAGCAGGAGGCAGAGCCGGGCGTGGTCTGCCCCAGTTGTGGGTGCTTGTCCAGGCTCAGGAAGTTTCCAGAATCCCTGCACCACTGTGAATAGGGGTTGCCTCTGGGAAGGCCGGGGTCCCAAGAGAGACAGAAGTTGACCTTTCATTGTCTACTGCTTAAGATGCTCTGGCCATGTGCAAACATCACCCTTTTGATACAAAAATCAGTGAAGCCGCTGGGCGCAATAGCACACGCCTGTAACCCCAGTGGCTCAGGAGGCTGAGGCAGGAGGATGGCAGGTTCAAAGCCAGCCTCAGCAACTTAAAGGCCTTAAACAACTCAGCGAGACTCCATCTCTAAATAAAATGCAAAATAAGACCAAGGATGTGGCTCAGTGGCCGGGTGTCCCTGGGCTCCATCCCTGGTACCCCACGTCCTCCCCCCCCAAAAAATCAGGGAAGCCTATTCAAGGCCCCGTCAACCTCAAGGGTCAGGGTGGTCCCTGGCACGCTGCCCCCACCCCCACTGCATTTCAGAGACATGTCTCCCGACCAGCAGCTCCCTGAGGTCCCCAAAACGCTCCCTGAAGCCCCCACACCCAGACACCTCTGTTCCTCCCCGGCACCCACCTTCAGGAAGTCCTCGAAGGTGATCCCCTCATACACTTGATCCGGTTCCTAGGGACAAGAGCGCAGGGCAGAGGGTGAGGGGCTGGGCCTCACCCTCCCTTGGCAGCGACCTGCCTCCCCGACACCCAGAGCACAGAGGGTTTGGGGCTGCTTTCTGGGTCACTTGTCTGCAGCCACACAGAGTCACCCTGAACCCCAACAACCTGCCTGAGGCTGGTGTAGGCTCACCACAGCCCTCCCGCTCACCCCCCCACACACATACAGAAAGGTCTGGTGGAGGCAGGGTGGGCAGAGGACGGGGCCTCCTTCCCCAGGGCCTACCTCCTGCTCTTCCCCAGCAGCCCAGCTGCCAAGACACCTCGCTGCCCCCCACCCCCGTCCTGCCACATCATCCCCTGCCACCCCCCCTCGGGTCCTGCCACATCATCCCCTGCTCTGATAAGAACTATTCTAGGCTAATCTGTGTGCACAGACCACTGGGGAAAGGGGCAGGGGAGTAAGGGCCAGCCTCTGTGGCCACCCTCGTGCCCATGAGTCACTATGATAACGTCCAGACACCCGGAGGTGGGGGCCAGTGTGGCAAGTGGCAGCCTTGGCCTGGCTCCGAGCTTCTGGCTTTCAAGTGTGTTTGGCGATGCCCATGTCGCTCTGTCCTTTCCTCTCTGGGACAACAGGGAACACACAGGGGCTCCTGCCTCTTCCAGTTCTACTCTGGGGCTCTGACAACCTCATATCCAAAAACCTTACCCCAAAGCACCTTAGTGACAGTGAATACCCAGCTAATGGCCTAAGTGTCCATCAACAGAAGACCAGCTAAATAGACCTCGGTGGTGCACAGGCTGAGTCCTGCGTGCTATTAAGAAGGGGTCACTGACTCGTGCTGATGCAGAAAAGCCCGAGATGGGTGCAGAGCCACACGGAGGAGGACAGCACCTGCAGATGCAGGCAGGCAGCTCCCCAGGCCCTGGCTGGGCTCTGCCACCTGAGGCATGGACGAGGGGGTCAGCACAGAGAAGAGGGCAGGCCACCTGGTTCAAGTTCATTTTGTGTAAATCAAAAATCAAAGTCAGGGGTTGGGGCAGAGCCTGGGCAGAGGGCATGCTTAGTATGTGCAAGGCCCTGGGTTTAACCCCAGCAACAAAACAGAAAAATAACAGCACCCCCCCCCCGCCGCCCCGGGGGCTGCGACTCAGCCGTAGAGCACTTGCCTGGCACGTGTGAGGCTCTAAGTTTGATCCTCAGCACCACATACAAATAAATAGACTAAGGTATCAGTGTCCCTCTGCAACTAAAAAATATATTTTAAAAAAACATAAAAACTAACAAAGTATCAAGGACATACAAGTAATATTTGGGCTTCTGTAGGAAAGTCAGCGGGGCTCCCTGCAGAGAGGGGAGCAGTGGGTGGGCGAAGGGCAAGGAGAGACAAGCCTCAGGGCCTCACACCCTGCACCCTGCAAATCTAACAAAACATAGGCTAACGTCCTGGGTGTCCCCAGCCATAAGACCAAAGCTTTACGGTGACAATACCACCCTGACACAGCCCTAGGTGGGCTCCATCCTCAAACCCGCCTGACAGATGACGCCTCGGGGTGCAAGGGCCACTGCTGGGGGTGGTTCCGGAGGGTCCTCTGTGGGCAGCACTCTTCCCCCTTCAGGCTGCTGTTCTACTTTTAAACACATTTATAAAACCACTAGCTCTCCACTGGCCAGCCCTGTCCCCAGGGCTCCTTCCTCCTCTTCCCCCTCATGAGCATGGAAAGGAGTGGGCACCCTCTCTCCTGGGCCCCGGGGTCTGTTGAAGGATGACGGAGACCCACAAGGGGCTGGATGGTGGGGAAGGCAAGAAAGAGGGTGGAGGGGCTGGGACGAGGAAGCTGCCAGCTGAAGTCCCCACCAGGCCACGCCACGGAGCACAGCCTGCAGGGGCAGCACTCGGAAAAGAAGTCAACTGGCTTGGCAAGTCCATTAAGGGGAGGACAGTGGACCGATTGTCTCTGGCGGGTGGCGCGGTCAGAAATGTGGAGCGTCCTCAGAGGCCAGATGGCGCTGAGCGCCCGCTGTTTATCTGTGACCTTGACATCAGAAAACAAGGGAAAGGCCCACCCAGGACCCACAAGGCCCAAAGCAAGTCTTGCGCGGGCCTTCTGCGCACGCACGGAGCCTGTCCCCACCTGTCTGGTCCTGCGGGACACAGGCTGGGGAAGCCGGCCTACTCCCTGGCCGCTCTGATTCGATGCAGCCCAGCAGATGCCAGCTGCCAGCAATTTCACTTCCCCAAATTAAGAAAACTGTCGCCAATTGAAGCTGGAGTGGGGCAGGAGCGATTTGAAGGAGAATGTAATTAAATCAAGTGGGAATTTGGCTCCTCAGCCCGGCGGGGATCCCGCTCGCCCCGGGTCGCAGCCCTTCCTGCAGCGGCTGATTTGCTGAGTGGGAGGCTTCACCAAGGCCAGGGCTCCCTCTGGGCCGTAGAAGCAGACAGATGAAACTCAGGCCGTGAGATGACCGCCCTGCACCCTGGGGCTGGCCCAGCAGCTGGCCGCCGGGGGCCTTGCCACAAACAGCAGGAAACCCCTTGCACCCAGGCTGGGCCGACACAGCATCAAGGTGTCCAGACACAGCCCCGCGGTGCCAAGAGGGGGGAACATCAGCGCCACCCACTGCACCCATCAGGATGTCACCTGACTGCCTGTGCAGCCCTCTGGGGCTTGGGGCCACAGCTACCGGCTGGTGGCTCTACCCAGCCCTGCAAGAGGGTCCATCCTGCTCAGAAAAGGGCGCGGGCTCTGCCGGGTTCTCCCTGCGCTGAGCCCCGGGTTTCCCAGTGGAATGGGGCTAAGGAGGCCCCTCTGCTTCACTGACCCACTGGGCCCCCTTCAGCCCCAGACCAGGTCGCTCCCAGCCCAAGGGACAGCCCCTGCCGACCCTGCCTAAAGGCCAGAGACCCTACAGAGCAGGGCTGATGGCCGGGGGCCGTGCGAGTGCCAGCCCTCAGGCGGCCTCGGGCGGGAAGGCCGCAGTGGGACCTGCTGGACCCCAAGCCTGAGGACGTGGTCTCTGCACCCCTGTGTGGCACAGCCCCCGGGGTTGGGACCCCAAGTCTCCTAGGGGACGGGGAAGGCCGGAGGAGCCCGGGAGCTGTTCGAGGCCAGGCCTTCCTGCTGCACCACATCCAGTGACACGTCCACGGACCCCAGGGAGAGCGGCCCGGTGGGAGGGACGGGGCTGGGCCCCAGGGCGCTCACCATCTGCCCCACGCACACGCTGGCCGCCTCCATCATGGCCCCGTCAGCGATGGAGCGGGCCGACTCCTTCTCGATGTGGGGGTTTCCGGAGAGCAGCTCCTCCACCACCTGCGGGTGGGCAGAGGGCGGTGACCTGGAGCCCCCCCGAGGTGGAGGGGCAGGGGGCCGGGCAGGGCAGAAGAGCATACTTTACATTTCGATATTCTTCCAGGGTGATGCGGCCGTCGCTGTCCGAGTCGTACATGTGGAACAGAACTGGGGGCAGCCGGGGGAGGGCTCGGTTAGGAGAGCCTGGCCCCCGCCCGCTCTCTGAGAGCCACACCGCACCCAGTCACCCATGACGAAACCCCAGGCCAAAACCTTAGGGGTCAAGAGCACAGGCCAGGGGGCCGACTGACCACTGCCCAGCGGGGTGGCCTTGACCTCGGGCAAAAGACTTAACTTCTCTGAGCCTCAGTTTCCCCATCTGTGAAGTGGGAAAACAGTGTCTCCCTCGGGGTCTTGGGAGGCTGAGGAAGGCAGAGCTGGCCCACAAGGGGCAGCAGGGGCAGCAGCGTCTCTATTTCCCTCTTTACAGACACCAGCATCCTGTGGCCTGTGGCCCAGCAGAAGTGAGGAGCTAAAGGAGGTGGCCGCTCCCCACCACCCCTCACTCAGCCCTGAGCTCCCCAGCTGCTCTGCGCTGGCCACTCATCCAGCACCAACCAGAGGCCAGGCCTGAGCAGAGCTCTCCACGACCCCTTGTCCCCAAGCCTGGAGGTCGGGGCTGCCAGAGACCCATCCACAGACAGCTGCTGAGGCCAGTCCAAGCTCAGGTGGCCAAACCTTAGGTTTGGACCTGTGTCCACCTGACTCCACGGCCCCCAGGACCCCCAACCCAGCCTACAGGGCAGTGGAAAGCTGGGTGGACACAGTGCCCGCCTGGCCAGAGTGGCCCAGGAGGCCCCAGGCGTCAGCCCAGCAATCCCACCAGCCCCTCGTGCCCACGCCAGCGTGAAACACAGCCAAGGCCCCTGTTGACAGTTTCCTGATGGCGAGACTGAGCCCGGGTTGTGGTGCACAGGGATGTCAGAGTCATGGGAAAGTCCACCGAGGACAAAGGAGATGTGACTCAGGCCACGGCGTGGACCCTGCCCTCTGGCTGGCCAGGATCACACGTCCCCTGGAGTCAGGGGACATTGGTGGCTCCTCCAGGATGCAGGCTGCCCTTCTGCAGACCCTGCCACAGGAGCGTCACTAGGGGCTCCGAGTCCTCAGTGCCACATGCATCTGCAAATGGCACCTCCACGTCCAGGTTTGAGCTCAAGGCCACTGAGCCACTGACTGGAGCAGCTGAATCGAAACCCGTGGCTCCGTGACCCCCTTCAAGTCCCAGAAAGCCACCAACTGCTGGGCCGTTCACCGCGAGACCCCCCGATGTGACTTGGGAGGAGGGACACGCACAACACTGCCCTTTTAGGGACTGGCCACACAAGGACACGAGCGCTCCCTCCCTTCCACGCATGGCCCACCCTCCTGCCGCAGGGTTTTGAAGAGGCGGCAGCCGGGGGCCTTGGGGACGCACATCTCAGCTTCTCTTTCCGAGACAGCTCCACCTGCTCCTCGCCCAGCGTGGTGTCGATGGGCCGGAAGTAGGACATGATGGTCAGGAAGTCCTCGAAGTCGATCTCGTCGGCCAGGCCGCTGGGCCCCTTGCGCAGGTTCCTGCGGGACACGAGGGGGGGGTTATTCAGTTACAGACGGGACCTCGTCCTTCCACGGCCACCTGTCCTCAGAACTTGGCCCTCGACACTGTCCTCATCTGGTTCTGTGTCCCGAGAACCTGCTCCGTGGGGGCCCCGGGGGGCCCAGGCGCCAAAGCCCAGCACCTGCCAGAGCTCACCGTCCAGGAGGCTGGGAAGAGGCAGACACCGGGAGCCATGGAGGAGGGCCACCAGGGAGGGACGCCCGGGGGACTGTGGTGGGCACCAGGAGGTGGGGAAACTGAGGCGCCAAGCCATCCACTAACTCGCCCAGCCCCCCCTTCCCTTTATCTCAGGGGTCAGCAACAACGGGGCCTGTCACTCATTTTGTATGTCACTGATTTTTGTACGGCCTGTCTGGTAAGGGGCATTTTCTTGGTTTAAAATGGTTAAAAGAAAACAAATTTTGTAAAAAAAAAAAAAAAAAATTCAAAATGATATTTCCTGACAAGTGAGAACGACACAAAGATTGAATGTC